AGCATTAAGCCCTGCAGTCACGGCCCTCAAATTCCCCACCTTGCCAACACCGTAAACATGTTGAAATAAAATATAGCTTTTACTGATAACAATTGTCATTCTGATTTATTCTGAATTACAGAAACACTGGACATGATGGTACAATTTGAAGTTTTGGTTTTCAAGATTATCCAAACTGAAAGCAGCAGCAGAAGAAAAACCTCATATGACTCTTATTTGGGCCTCAGTGGTGATATCCAGCTGGTTTAAACCTAAAACGCCTCCCTCTGATCTGAATGGTCACTACCTAAACCCCAACACCTGCATCAATCCTGAGTCAGTGCTAGTGCAGATTCTGCAGCTCAGGTAGGAAATTCTGGAGGTTCCGAGCTTCACATGAGGCCTGAACATTTACAGATTGGCCACCGTGTTTTTATAGACTCTATTCATGCTTACGTCACAAACCAGGAAGACGTCTGCAAACATGCAATGACAACTTCAAGTGACATTACTGACACTGGGCTCGCCGACCGACTGTGATCAAACCCATTGAAGTAAATGTGCTCAGCAGTAAAATGAAGACTGTATACGTATGTGCTGTTTAAAATCATCTGGAATTTGGTGTATTTGGCCGGTTCGCTCAGAGTTGCGTGTCAGTAGGGAAATGATGAAAACTGAAGTATGGTTGTAATTAGGGATGTAACAATAACTGAAATATCATGATATTGTATCGTCAAAGTTCTCACAATAATATCGTGGACCATCACAATATACCGAATTACAAGTCTCTTTGCTTAAATGAAAAATTTTGGTGCCGCAATAGCTAAAAAAAAAGACAGGAACTACATAGACCATGATCCTTTGCTCCATTTCAGCACAGACTACAAGAAGAAATAACAGTTCTAACACTTTTAAGTCTTAGTTCTTTGGATTAAGTCTTGTCAAGGCATTTTAAGAAGAAAAAGTAGGATATTAACAGTTTGTTAATCTCCACAAAATATCACAATAAATATCGTACTGTGAGATGTGTATTGTGAAAATATTATACTGAGAGATTTGGTGATTGTTACATCCCTAATCATGAGCCTCCCCACCATATCATGAGCTTTCCCACGATATCGCAGTAAATATCATACCGTGAGGTTCATACCGTGATCACGGTATACGTATCGTATTGTGAGACTTGGGTATCGTTACACCCCTAGTTGTAACTATTGATGAGCCGAACATAACGGAACGCTACGATGACATGGAGATGAAGAAAACTGAGCCATTTTCTAATTTTTCCTAGATTTTCAGACTTACTACCGCAAACAGAGCCCGTCGGAAGTTGTCATCGCATGTTTTCAAACGTCGTCCTGGTTTGTGACGTAAGTGTGAATAGTCTATTGGCACAGTGAACCAAGTGTAGTGACTGGAGTAGGTTCTTTATGGGATACTGCAGAAACCTCCATTCAACAGATCTTGAATCAATCACAACCGACAACAGTGAACATTAGTACAAAAGATTTTTATTTAAACACATCAAAAGAAAAAATACAATAGCTTGTAAAACATGAAATGATGGTAAAAATACAATATAAACAACAATATAAAAACATACAGACAGGAAGTGTTTAGTTTATAATATAAATATCATCTGCATAGAGAAACAACTTCTGTTCTCTGCCATCCACTTGAATCTGCACTTTTTTTTTTTAGGGCCAGTGGCTCTAGAAATATTGTGAAAAGCAATGGGGATAAACTGCAACCTTGCCTCACTCTTCTGGAGAGATAAACAAAAAATCTGATACCAGCCCATTAGACAGAACTGCAGCCTTTAGACTGGAATATATGGTTTTCACCCAGTTATAAAATGTAGGCCCAAAACCAAACTTATTGAGGACTGCCTTAAGAAAACCCCATTCTAGACAATTGAATGGCTTCTCTGCATCCAGGGAGAAGGCATTCGATTGTCAACTGGGTTCCTACTAGTTTTACTTTTGTGCAGAATATGGACAAGTCGTCTCATGTTGTCTTGAGAACATCTGGTCTTAATGAAGCCAACTTGGTCTCCATGAATGATCGATGGTTGTATTTTTTCTAGCCGTGAAGCTAATATTTTAGTCAAAATTCATCTACTCCCAGATGTAATTTGCTGGGTCTGAGATGTCTCTCTATTTTTTAGCGATTAAAGATATTAGTGACTCATTAAATGAACTCGGTAATAAACCTGTATCATATGCTTCCAGATAAACCTTGTGTAAAACTGGCCTCAAAATATCAACATACTTTTGATAATACTCAATCGGAAAGCCATCCATACCTGGTGACTTTCTATTTTTCACTGATGATATTGCTGCCCTAATTTTCCCTTTTGTTACAGATGCCTCCACCCTCTATTTTTGAGCTGTTGTGTTGGAAAGTTTAGGCCTGAGAAAAAAATGTATCATTGTCAGTCTCATTAATAATGCCAGATGATCTATATTATAGATCATGTTTGAAAGAAAACTAACCTTGCATCGCATGAATCGTCGCAAGTTGAGGGACTATTTTCTCCTATCAGTCCACCGCTGCCAAACTTTCTATCAGGAAGTACAACTCACTGCTGCTGCTCACACAAAAATCTTTCAAATGTGAGTTTGGTTTTACTTCTAAAATTATTCTATCAACACAGACACATGGACAGTCTGGTGTAATAATAGATTTGTTTCAGGTGTTTTGTGGAGTGGGTAAGACTGTTTTTAGTGGCAGGAGAACTATGACCATTGACATGCACTAACCTAGCAATAGTGACCTCTGCAAATACAAGGACAGGATGGAATATTTCAAAAAGTGTCTCTACACGTCTCCAACACTCTGGCTCACTAGGAAATGAGGTCCTATTTCCAAAAATCCGAATTGCCTAGGGATACCTAGGCAATGTGCATACAGGCAATGTGAGAATAATATGCAAGACAAAATCTTGGCCCATATACAGCTGCTGTCTGAACAAACAACTCAAAAATAAACAAAACAAACACTTCTCGGCTTAACCACGCCGAACAATGAAAACTCCCCATAACTTGCACATCCCATCTTGAACCTTGGTTTGGGTTCCCTTAATTTACTCTGTCTGTGAGACTAGCTCTAGGTAAGTGACAGCCCCATCATCACCAACTTTACAATGTTCACAGATGCATACACTTCTTTCGTCCCGCAGACTTTTAAGCTGAATGTGACATGAAGGTTTTCTTCTGGCCATTCTATGTAAACATTAGCGTGGCTAGATAGACCATCTTGTGTTTCACTCAGAGCTCATGGAGACACTTCCATGCCAGGCCAAAGGCTTTCCTCTTTTCTGCCAACTCCTTTGTGACATCCTCAAAGACTGAAAGCCTGGTGCCCTCCCAATCAACTCCCTGCTTCTCTCTGGCGATCTACAATACCTTCTCTCTCGCAGAAGAATGTAGAAAAAGGACAAGCACCATCCTCTGAGGTTTGGTAGGATCTGGAACAGGTGCATCAAGGTCTCGATGAGCTCGTTCAATTTCAAAGATACTTGCGTCCGCAAGTATCTTCTCCACATATTGGGATATTTTCCCCGACTCAGTCCCTCTTTAAGACCAAAAATATGGATGTTATTCCTCCGGCTTTGGTTCTCCCAATCCTCCTCTCGTGACCACAGTGCCTCAACTTTCTTGTCACATTTATCCAACTTGATCTGAACTTGTTTGTCAACATCCTCCAGGTCTGATATTACGCTATCCCATCCGTATTTGAATGCTCTCCACCGAGCCCTTAAGGTCTTCGTTTGTCTTTTTAATTGTGGTCACATACATCGCCACATTCGTCAGGATGGTAGTCATCTTCATCTCCTCAGATAATGCAAGGTTTTCAGATTTTTCATTCTCGTCCGGTATATTGTCGACTTCTTCCACCCCAGGCAGCAGCTTGTTTCTTAATAGTTAGTCTCGTAGTAGTTGCTCCTTTAAAAAAAGGTGTTTTACTGCTACCTAACATCTTCAGATATTAAGGAGGTTTCAGGAGCTCGTCTGATGTGCGGCCATTCCTCTCCTGACTCCTTTGCGGGTAATTATTAATTATTGTATTAGTACAGATTTAAAGGACCCATATTACACAGTTTTCTCTGTTACTTTTCTTTATCATAAAATAGCTGGAGTTGTGTTTTGTTTTATTTACACATTAACACACAAACCCTGCAGATTTAGACTTTCTTCTCTCAAACAGAAAACACTGTTCTACCTTGTGATGTCATGTGGTAATACAGGAAGTGCTCCACTGTCTTTTTAAACTCCGTACACCTTCACTGGAATAATTTGGATTATTTCAGGCCTGGAATTGCAAATCTCTTCTGAACTAAAGGTAAAAGAGTAGCTGTTAACTTTAAAACTAGCACATGGTGGAACAGAGCATTTTGAGTTTTGGAGATGTAGACAGACTAATAATAAAGAGTTACTCAGATGTGTGTGAATAAAACAAAACTTCAACTCCAGGTCTGTTTTGGAGGAGGTAACAACATGTCAATTATAACACGTCTTAAAGCTCTCGTGAATCCATTTTGTGTAATACATAAAAACTGAATCACCTGCTTGTCTCCATGGAGATAAAGAAGATTAATGCCATACTGAGGGACATTCAATGGAGATGAGCAGAAAAGTTACATGGATTTTGGGATATTTCTCATGAAAAGTGATGCACAATTCTGACAGAGGAACACCACATTTTACTGTCAGTCTGAAAACAGTTTTTGTTAAAGTGCTTATGACAGATTTTCATGTTTTCCTAATTCTGACTGGATTTGATGGATAATACCTGTGGTCAATATTTGTCATAATTTCACATCAGTTCAGTGGCAGTTTGAGAAGAAAAGTAAAGTAGAAAACAAAAACTCTTGGTCTGAAAAAATAACCTAATAACATAAAAGTAGAAAACAAAAATAAAAAATACAGGAAGTAGCTGTGAGTTCTAAAACACAATCCCTCTCCCTATGTCATCAACTCCATCCAACCTGCACAACCTGAGACAATTTATGCACAAGGAAGCATTTTTCTGACATTTTAATCTTTCATTTAACAAATAAGGGTTATATTTTACTTTAAATTGCCTAATCAGAACTATTACCGTATTTTCCGCACTATAGGGCGCACTTAAAAGCCTTTAATTCAATCAAAAAATGACTGCGCGCCTTTATAATCCAGAGCACCTTATATATGAATTTCCTGGGGTGTCTTAGTACGACTTTAGTAAACTACAAAGCCGCACCACTTGCAGCATTACGGCTCCCGTAGTCAGTCCTGTGAGTCATCTCACACAGTATTTTTTTTATGCTTTACAACTGAACAAAGTTGAGAGTTATTGTGAACGCGTTAAATAAAGTTTAACTGACTTATCTAACTGTTGTGTTTTGTTTAATGCACCTTATAGTCCGGTGCAGTTTATATGTGAATAAAGTTCGAAAATAGACCATTGAATAACAGTGCACCTTATAATCCAGAGCGCCTTATAGTGTGGAAAATACGGTATGTAATTTAGATGTTTTGGCCCTTTGTTTTCATTATGGTTGCTTGGTAACAGTTATGGAATTACCTCTACACGTCATATCTGCTGCCCATGTCCAACCAGGAAGTAATGTCATAAACTTCACCAAAAATACAAAACAAGAAAAGATCAGGCCAGATTAACCTGTCATATGCGCTTCAACTTTGCAATAGTAAAGTTGGAACCAAAAGTCCCACTAAATATAATAATTTTACACCTGTTTTATTCATTCTCCACATCCCGGGTGTCAGCGTGTGTGGGCGAGTGTGTGCTGGTACTGCAGGCCTGATGCCAGTGTGTGGACCATGTGTCTGGACGTGTTCTTCATGCTCCGGGCAGCTCTCAGGGCTCTGCTCAGGGGCTCGTCCAGAGAAGAGAGTCCGTCTGCGGGCACGCGGCGGCTCGCCCTCCCCTCTCTGGACCTCTGGAGCCTGGGACGGTCCTCGCTCTGAGAGGGGAGCAGGACGGGTGGAGGAGGAAGAGGAGGAAGGGAGTACAGCCTGAAGTGGACACACACACACACACACGTGATTTAAAATACATGATCTGATTCAACAATATTATTAAGATTTCAATATCATAAATTAAAAAGTGACAGAAGTAAAGTTAAGTAAAGAAATATGTGTACAAATGAAATGTCCAAGACTTTATATTAGATACAAAATGATGTCAGTATCTCAGAATCTCAGGACATTTCATAAACAGCTCAACAGTGACATTAAGTCAGATGTTTTAACGTCAGCTCATATGTCTCTTAGTGTTACTGATGTTTTCAGAAATGTCATCAGACAGTTCCATATGTTGTGGAGTTAGTGTGCGTGGTATAGAGTGTAGCACTTACAGCAGAGGATGAGCACACACAGACACATGGGGCCCTCTGTCTGTGGAGGGGACAGTGTGAGGGTCTCTGGGACTGCAGCAGTCTACAAACACAAAACTCATCACTTATTTAGGCCACATTCAAACAGGATTTTAAAATCTCACATTCAGAGGAATCCTTGTCCCAGAGGAAGTTTCAGCTTCCTGTTATATGAAACATTTTGAGGAGCTTTTTTCCCCATTATAAAAGATATTTAGTTTTAATTGTTAATCCTTAATATTTCATCATTTTAAAACCCATGGATTGCTGTGTTTAATGGTAGGTGAAATGGCATCACCTGAAGGTAACCTACACAGGCACAGGGAGAACATGCAAACTCCACACAGAAAGTCAAACCCAAGGACCTTCTCTCAAGTGTGAAACACTATGCCAGTGTCATAATAACAGAACACTTACCCAGAGCTGGCTGTGCTGCTCCACACAGTGTGCTGTGGTGACAGTGAGCTGAGGATGTGTCGTCTTTAAGAACTCCATCTAAGAGAGGACAAAAAACAAACAGGTTTGTATAATAAATCACAGGTCTAGAAGTACGACTGTGAGCTCAGAAGTGTCACATACCAGTACACCTGCCTCTCCACAGACACTCAGCACTTACAGGAGCTCTGCTGTCTCTGTCTGCTCCCTCTGGTTTCCCTGAGCTTTGTCCTGGAGTAGAAAACACACTAGTTTAAATGTGCTCTGATCTAATAACAGGGCTTATGTCAAGTGCACATGGGACAGTTTCACTTGTGTTACTTTTTAATAAGACTAGGTGTAATTGTACAGGGGTTGTCAAGGGTTGTCAGTATTGAAAATCATAAACTAGTCAAGACTAATACTATGATCAAAACTAGACACTCATTTGAGCAGGTTCTGAACAGACACATTCACAGGACAGAAATGAACCTTTCCTGAATAACTTTAGGATGATCAGAACAGAGCTTATAGACTATTGTACACCCTGGACCACTATGGAACCTCTCTGGACGACACATGGTAATAAAAAAGAGAGTACTATGGTTTAATGTTGAAAATCACATTCTAGTAATGCCCATAACCATGAGAACAAAGTGGCCCTCACTGAGGTATGGTGTGTGTAGAGTCTGTGGGTGTGCGCAGGGCTCAGCAGAGGTCTGGGTCAGTCTGGACACTTGAAAACCTGGAACAATATAACAACTTTTATCAGGCCTTCTTGTAAAATAATAATGGAAAATGTTTTTCCCAGCGAAAAGCCTGGACTCACAGCTGTCCGTCTGGGAAAGTTTGCTGAGCACTGCCCTCGTGTGGTCAGTCTGCCTCTTTACAGATGCCCTGTCCTCTTCTACAGATGTCATCTTTCTGTCTCTCCTGTCCCTGTGAGCGGTCTTTTGTCGATCAGACCTGAGGAGGAGACCACAACTTCAACATCTGGTCATCAAAATATACTGTGGAACAAAAATAAATGTAAAAATGCTGTTGAGACGAGAGAAAAAAATAATCTAGTTTAAAGTACATATGACGGGTTTTCATGTTTTCCTAATTCTGACTTGGTTTAGTATGATAGTACCTGTGCTAAATATTTATCATCAGTTAAAGCATCAGTTTATGGGAAAGAGTAAAAGAGTAAAATTGAGAATTACAGGAAGTCGAAATGCTGAACAAATTTATGCACAAGGAAAACTTTGAACCAAACTAAGGTGTTTGTCAAATAAAAAAAAAAGAAGGAAATTATGGTTTGCAAAATGGTTACTTTTAAACAAATGTATGAACTTTATTATTAAAGTTTTTTTGTGACAATGAGTCTTTAATATCAACTTATAATAAACCAACCAATGTATTATTTATAAACCTTCAATCTCCTGTCAAAATCATTCCAGAATATGTTCAAAATCCGAAATAGTCAGTGAGAAATGAGCTCAGCGTTACGGCCATATTTATCAAAATAAAAAAATCTGAATAAACATTATGAAATGTTGTGTATATTTGTTAAAGGGATGGACCACTGGAACAAACTGTACAGAAAACCTAAAATTGTGCACCACTCTGTTCCATTTTAAAAAGAAGTTTAAATATTTAACTCTGGGCAAATACATGAATTAAGAGACTTAGTTTGTGCTGTAGTACTTTGTTGTACTGTTACTTATTTGTTTGTTTCCTCTTGCTGTATTTATGAAGATTAACTGGTTTCAGATGATGCTATGACAAAGGAATAATGGGTAAAGGTGTAAAAAGCTCAAACTTCAGCCTCCACCTTTTTAGTCTGTGTATGTTAAATATGACTGTCTGTGGAAAAAAGTCAGAAAATACCCGTGATCCAAACAAATGAATCAATCAGTATTGTCTATGTAAAACAGTTCTATTACACCGAGCCAGACCTGCGGACAGGAGTGGAGGTACAGGGGGGGCTTCTGTCTGCTCTGTCCCTCATGAACAGCTCCACGTGGTCCCTCAGACGCCCAACCTCAGCCTGCAGCTCGTGGAACGCCTCTCTGAAAACACACAAGACATACAGTATAATATCAGGGCTGTGTGATATATCGCAATCAAATCCAAATCACAATTGAGTAGGTGCAATTATGAAATCACAACTAAAGAAAAATTACAAAAAAACTTTTTCAGGAGCTTGTGATCAGTCCGAGCCCCCAAAAAGAAAATCATATTTTACAGATTACAAGCTGCAAGTCGTGAAATCTGCAGCTGAAAACGGTAATCGAGCAACAGAAAGAAAGCTTGGAGTGAAAGAGAAACTTGTGACACAGGGAGGATGCACCATGAAACGTTCCTGAAGTCATTGGATGGATGGACAAAGTCTGGACTTCAGTGACACCGAAACCATCCTGTCGGGATTCAGAAAGACCTGAATAATTCTAACTGGAACTGATGCTGAATCTGACGACAGCGACACAGAAGAGGAAGAGACGCTCTGTTTACCTCCGGAGGTCGAGGCCGAGTTGCTCAGAAGTGACACCAAGGATGAAGAATTGAATGGATTTAGTGATTTGGAGTGAGATGGAGAGTTTGGTAAACTTGTTCTGTTCTGTTGTTTATGTTATAGTTTATCTGATGAACGGTTCATATGTGACGTTAACAGTCTGTTGTTCTCTTCTATTGTTATTACAAGAACTTGACTTTACACAGGAAATGTTGGTTCCTCGTCTCTCGTCATCTTATAATATAAATTCCCCCAAAAAGTGTGACTTAATAATATTGCATCAGTTTTATATAGTGCTTATTTGGACACTGAAAGACACTTTACAGAGCATTATCCATTCACTCCATATCTGGAGATGGTAAGCTACTGCTGTAGCCACAGCTGCCCTGGGGCAGACTGACAGAAGCGAGGCTGCCAATCTGCACCATCGGCCCCTCCAACCACCATCATCACTTACTCACACACCACTTTCATATTAGACAATGAGAGGGAAGTGTCTAGCCTAAGGACACAACAACAGTTTTACACAACTGGAGCCCTCCTGTGGCTCCTGATTTTCCCACTGGTCTCCCATCCAAGTACTAACCAGGCCCGGCCTTGCTTAGCTTCTGAGATCTGACCAGATCAGGCTTTGACAAGCTGGAATGGCCACGACTTATAGTCGGGTGCAACTTATATATGTTTTTTCTTCTTTATTACACATTTCTTGACTGGTGCGACTTGTACTCCGGAGGAACTTATAGTCTTTACAATGCTGTAATCTATAGAGAAGTCTGGCTCTTGCCTGAATCTGGAGTATGACACCAGCACAAAGGATGAACAAATATATTGAAATATTGATATATCATATAATTTAATGTGATGATACAGTATCGATATCGTAGGCTGCTGTATCGATATATCTCCAAGAGTATTTTTTAGTAAATTTTACTGTATTATTTTGTTACAGTGCTACAGTTTTGTTGCTTGTTCAGAGGAAGGAAATGTGTTTATGCAACATTTTCACTGTTTTGATGATTAAATGTTTGTGTTTCATATTGACTTTGCACAAGAAGTGGTTCAACAAAAACTTTTAGTATCACAATCATGATTTAGCCATTTTTTATTGAACCACACTGAATCAATTGGAAATGTATCATATCGAATCGAAAGCTCTCTGTATCGAGATATGTATTGTATCATGTCCTGTATCATATTGGCAACTTCTTAATGATATCCACCCCTAATAATCACATTCTACAATCTGAAAACCACAGATATTTGAAAGCAAATAGAAAAATAGCAATTTGATTTTGCTCTAAAATCATGCAGATTATATCTGTTGTGGTTTTAAAAAGCTGTTGTTGAGTTATAAGTGATGAACGCACTGCAAAAGTGAGGAGTTAGAATCTACTGCACAACATGCCATTCCAATACTCACTCATAACTGCGCAGGCTCGGCTTCTGGAATCAAGTACACACATAACATGTGTTCAAAGGATAGACTGACAGGTGGACTAACCAATCAGAAAACACATGGTCCCTCAGGGAATTTAAGAATTACACAAAGCTGACTCACGTTAACTTTTAGTCATGTTGGAATCTCCTCAAAAGCACAGCTGGACTTGTGTTTTATTTCATTCACATGTTTGAGTAACTCTTTATTTTTTGTCAGTCTACTCTACATCTATCTACAGGAAGTGCTCCACTGTGTTTTTAAATAAATTTTAAATAAATGTATTTGGTTAATTTCAACCCTGGAATTCACAATCTCTACTGAACGAAAGGTCAAATGTAGATGATTTAACTTGAAAATCACAAGCTAAAGAAGTGCACAAGGCTCTAAAACAAACGTCATGGTAAAGCTAGGATCCACTCACCCGTGCCTTGCCCCTCGACCAGTGTTTGGGGCTTTCAGAGGGTCACCGTGGCAACTGTGGGAGGGGCCACACGGGGAGAGGGAGGAGCCAGAGGAGAGGTCACTGTGGTCCTCTTCAGACACACTGCAGCCTGTGAAGAGACGGAGGTTAAGAACTAAACCATCTATAAATGCATTAGTCTTGGTTCAGACGAGAGATGCCCTGATCCAGCGTTTTCAGTTCTGATACCGATTTCGATACTAAAGCTTCAAATATCAGCTGATACCTGATACTCATCAAAACCAATGCAGAGACTGAAAATTCTATTCAATTCCTTGAAACAACAATACAAGAAGACAGAACTGATTTAAATGTGTTATGTAGCTGTTATTTATCCTCAAGTAACGGCACCTCTGTATAAAAAAAAGTTCATTAGATTGATTTGTTTACTGTGTGCCACTAATATGAGCACAACTTTTAATTCACATAAACTATTTTAAATGTGTTTCATGTATTTATAGTGTGACCAGATTTTCAAAATTTCAAACTGGGTTGGAATGGTTGATATTAATAAAATTGTGAAAAGAGTGAAAAGATGTGTGCATTCTAGTGTCAGTCCTGATCTAAGGGGCTTCTGTTGCTGCATTTTTTGCTTTATGGTCATTTGCAAACATAGTTTTCTGTATTTTGGCGAAGCAAATGATAATTTATGGTCCTTTACTTTTGGCGGGGATCAGATTAGTCAAAAATTTGTTATGTCTCGTTTTAAGACCTCGTTTAGACCTGATGTAGTACTGGTTTAATCTTAGTTTAGTCCTGGGGTCCGGTCAAGCAGTAATGGAGGGAAACAGGGGCAGATTTTTTACATTCAAATAGCTCTTATTCAGAAATTAGAGGGACTACTGAAATAAATAAGTATTAGAATGTAGGAAAGAGTTAACACTCCAACAGGGTAAAGTTAAACCTGCGATATTCTTTCAAGTTGTTGACAAAAAATGTTAAAACTCATGTCGGTAACGGAGGGAATGAAATATGCAGCACTTTTTGGGCAATAAATACAAACAGCGATAACTCTTGGTTCTCACTTACATATCCTTAACAAACTGGTTTGAATATTTGCTTCATATAGTTTTCTACCATATGGTACAAGATGAGGTTGAAAAACCTCTTACTTTTGGAGTAATGAGATTTTTTATTAAGAAAGGTCATGGTAACAGAGGGAAAAGTAACAGAGGGAAAATTGTGCAAGCAAGTAGAAGGTGCATGATTTTGCATCATTTGTCAGTTTTTGTCTTACGAATACTTTAATATTACTTCAAAATGAAAGGAAACTTTTTCTATAAAATATGTCAGTCCTTCCAAGCTAATTTTTATCATTTTAAATAGGTCTTTGGAATGTGTCTTTTAATAGGTCTTTTAAATAGGTCTTTGAAATGTGGGAAATAATTTTTGTTTCATGTTTCATACATGGTCTGTTTAAAACGTATGGAACTTTAGAACCAAAAATGGTACAGAAAAAACGTCAACAGTTTCATAAACTAGAGTACATATACTATCTGTTGAATACATTTTTATATCAGATGCATAAACTTGAATTTTTGGCCTTGCTGTATACTTTTGCTTGACCGGGCCCCCTGATAGATCAAATTTGTCAAAAATAGGGACACGTGGGACATTTCATGTATAAATCTGGGACAAATCACTGGTTTTGGATAAATCTTCTGGGACAGGGTAGCCTGATTCATCAGCCGGTTTCACTTCGTGGAAACCGTCTGACCTCGCAGCATTAGGATTTGTTGGAACAAACTGTTTTGATCTTTGGAGATTTAGACAGGCTTACTCAAATGTGTGTGAATGAAACAAAACACAACTCCAGGTCTGTTTTTGAGGAGCTAACATGATAACACAGAATAAAGCTCACAAGAGTCCTTTTTGCATAATATAGAACTTTTAAACAGAACTGACTGTGGTTGCTGGAGAGTGTGGACAGGCTGCTCTCTCTGTTCACTGCCCTGAGTGTGTGGCTGTCTCTGGGAAGCTGGTGGCAGGAGGCTGAAGAGGCACGTCTCTTCCCCCCTCTGTGGCTCCTCCGGCTGGGCTTAGCTCTCTCCACCAGCCCCTCTTTGGTCTGTCTGCTCACGGAGGGTCCAGGGGAGGGATGTAGCTGGGGCATGCCTAGAACACTGGAGGAAAACGAACCAAAAAAAAAAGATTTATAGTAAATGGTGTTATGGTGTTATAATAGCATTATCTACTGTTCCTTGTGCTTTCTGGAGCACGTTTAGTACAAACTCGGTTCATTTGCAGCTTTGTGGTAAAAAAAAAAAAAAAAAGTGTGTGTCCAGTCAGTTTTGAGTAGTTGGTGACATCACACAGGACTGTCATGGTTCCAGACATGTGTTTCTGAAATACCAGACTGCAGGGTGAAATTTGAAGTGTGGATACCTGCCAAAAAGCATCCACTTGTGCAAAGCCGCTCAGTCAGACCAACAGATACAGCATGGAAGGAAATCAATGCACTTAATGATCTAATTTCTAATGTACATTATATTATATGTGCATTATATATTATTAGGGTTATATTATTGCACAAGTTATTTATGTAAGCCTTTGACCAGAATAAACAGAACAGCTCAAACATTTGGCCTAAATGAAGAAGAGGGCTGAGGCTGAGAAGTTGAGAAGAGCACCTACGTGAGCTTTACTTCCTGTGATGTCATCAAGTCCACCTGTCCCAAAAGCTGAGAGCTGAGTGTGAGAAAACTTCTCAAGTCCATTCTCTGAGTCTGCTCCCACAAGTCTGTACCTGTGAGTATGAGGCCCCGCCCTTCATCCCCCCTCACTCTCCCCTTTAATCCTCCAGATGTATATATTTTGCAGATCTCCAAAACAATTATATATTTTTAAAAATGCTGACTACCTTTAATTTGAGAATAGTAAAAATCCTTACCCCTGTGGCTCCCTCTGGTAGACAGGACTGGTCGCTGCAGCAGGGGTCAGGCGGCTTCCCTCTGAGCCCACAAAGCCACTGTCTGTGCCCGGAGAGATCAGTCCATCCTGACACACAAAAGTAACAGTGATACTTTTATATTTAACTGCTACATTGGAAAATGATAGTTGTACAAGATCAGTATCTAGTAAGACAATAGCTAGTAAGCTAAACAAATCCAAAATATGATCTGTTTTGAACGGGGTGAGGTCCTCTGTGGGTCAGGAAGGAATTGTTTGAAAACCAAGATTATTCAGTTCCAATAAATTTATGGTCAGATCTATGGCGAGGCAACCCTGCTCACAGTAAGAATGTTTAACCATGAACTATCTGACTATAACAGAGCATTAACTGTGTCCTGTGATTGTGCCTGAGGCAGCCAAAAGAAGAAGTGAGTGGGAAAAAAGTTTGTGTGTGCAAAGTGTGTGCATTTGATTACTGTATAAAATAAGTGTATAAAAGTGTATAAGAGTATAAAATGAGTAGGCCTTAGTTACAAAAAACAACACTTTATTAAAATAGATGACAGTTTATGTTTCTCGCACCCTCTCACTGGGCACTTTGTGATCCGTCCTGTCCGGAGCCTCCCTCAGGCTACTCAGGCTGCTGCTGGGGGACTGTCCCACCTCAGAGCCCCCTCTCCTGGGGAACTGTCCCACCTCAGAGCCCCCTCTGCTGAAGGACTGTTCCACCTCAATTCTCCCTCTCCTGGGGGACTGTCCCAGCTCAGAGCCCCCTCTGCTGGGAGGATGGCTCTGGGTGTGTGGGCCAAAGGCCTCTGCAAATGCCTCATGTCCCACATGAGGCATGCTGGTACTGGGAGAGGGTGGGGGATGATCCTGGGGGAGCTTAGATCTTGCTGGAGGACGACTTGGCTGAGTATTGTAATCTGCTTCCCTGTCATCAAAACAAGAATATAAGAAAAGCATTTTAATTTGGACCAGTATTTAGGGTCAGCAATATTTACAACAATGAACATCTCAAGAAGTTTGGGGATAACCCTGATGGAAATCAGGTGATGTCATTTCACTTGCAGAATTAGAAAACCGGTAGACAGAAATATTGCAGTGAATCATAAAACGTAAAACATTTCAGTTCCCTTCATACAGCCTGGTATGAAATACTGTTAACACTGACCTGTGCAGATCTCTGTAAGGACTCTGGGTGTTGGCTCTAGACAGTGTCCGGGCCTCCTCACACTCACAGTGTGTGACAGAGCGGCCATGACAGGTCAGGTCCCTCACTAAAGGCACAGGGAGGACTCTGATGCTGTGAAACCTGAGGACAACAACTCACTGTGTAAAGAAGCACAAGGAACATGTGTCTCAACAGGTAAGATCAAGGTTGTAAGGTTAGTGATACTTTGCTGTTGATGTGGGTGTGGAGTTGAAGCTAACTGAAGGCACTGTTCTGTCTGAAGCTCTGTTACTCAAGTAGACTTTAATCTGCTTTGTTTTAACACAATCTGACCAGAAAACACTAAAGTAAAATGTGTGCACTGTAACAACTGCATTCTGATGATGTTCTCCATAGACATACATGCTGCCCTCGCCAGTGTGATGACATGTATCAATAGTTACAATTTTCAAATGGTTTATAGAGCAGGTTTTATAAGGGTGTCTTGTGTTTAGTGTCACTCACAGTTGGGTGTAGTCTGAAGTTTGGGGCTTGGGGCTCTTTATGACTGTGGGTGATGGTGGACACTGCAAACACATACATCTTTACTTATTTTTATTTGAACAGACCAACCTTAATTAACTTACGGTGTTGAACAGCGCTAACCTAAGCTCAGTAAAAAGTCGCATTTGAATACATTCAACATTAAACTGAAGACACAGAAATCCAAATTAACCATATTTGTTACACTGTGTATGTAATGTAGCAGAATAAATGGCATTAAAAACTAATCAGAATGTTTACTTAAGTATAATGTAGGGGTGGGCAATATCTTGATGTTTAAAATATACTGAGATATTATTTAAACACAAAATGGATTCTGACATGTATATATCGATATAATGCTTATATGTAATTCTGTTTTTGCTGCTTCACTTCTTTGCCTTCTCTGTGCTCGCCCCCCCCCTCCTCGATTTTGTGACCCCTCCCCTCTCATTCAACACGGTGGCGCCCACAACCAGCCACTGAATGCACAAAGCTGGTGCCAAGAAAAGCTTATTTTAATGAATAATCTGCTGCAGTGTAGAACTTGTACAATAGTGTTTGGACGCGTTTGGTTTGATCTGTGGATTGTGGGATAACTCATAGCTCCTTACCACCGCGGGTTAGGAACATGGATCTATTCAAATAAAGAACCTCCTGGGCTTTCTGTGGGAGCTCATGGTTCTGGTTATCATATGGTTAACAGAGTTAATGCAAAGATGAGCTTGAGTTGAATTAGTGGAATTTGGCATATTTGCTTTTGCAGTAGTTTTTGGGGGGTTATTTTGTTATGTACAGATATTGAGATATATTTTTTGCTCCATATCACCCAGCCCTAGTATAACACATTGCCTGGTGCAGTGATCACCAGATTCACTGATGGCAGAATGAAGTTTTAGATGTTGTGAGAGTGGAGCATGTCGCTTTACATGTATGTGTGTCAAATACAGGATCACACACAGAGTTTCAAAATAATGATTTAAAAACTCTGGCACTGTACCTGTGTCTGTTCCACTCCAGACTGGGAAAAATACTGACACTGTGTTTGCAGAGATATTAGGGGCGTGGCTTGGTGAGTTGGCGTGGCTTGGTGAGTGGGCGTGGCTTGGTGAGTGGGCGTGGCTTGGTGAGTGGGCGTGGCAAGGCTCTGGACAAAGAGCTTGTGTAGCTGGTTTATCCGCAGAGCGATTTGCTGGATCAGACTGTACAGCTCCCTGAGGTCACAACAAACACAATACAACATTTACAACCTGTACTGATTTTAAAAGTACAAATAGTGATGTTATTTTTTTTAGTGCTGTCATGTGATTAAAAAAATTGAGAGATTAATTAATTATGATCTGTAATTAATTAATCTAATTAATCTCATTTTAATCTCATCTAAAAATTGCTGAGAAAAACTTCAATTTGAGGTATTTTCATTTAAATTCATTATTACATTATTGTGGCAGATCAAAAGACTGATATAGAACAAAAAAAGTGACTTTATAAAGTCATTTATTGTTTAACAAATCTCTCCAAATTGGCTGTTGAGCCCAAGACTCCATGAATAAGAAACTGTTTGCTGTAAAGTAGCAAAGACGAGGAAATCTGAACATAATAACTTTTGTCTACTTAAAGACAATAAAAAGTCCAGTCTTTCCTTAACCATATTAAAAATATTATTGATAGAGAAATGCTTTATATATGAGATCACTGGTTTTAGTCCTTGTTTTAGTCCTGGTTTAGACCTGCTTTAGTCCTACTTTAGTCTTAGTTTAGTCCTGGAATGGATTAATCCTGGTTTTAGTCCTGGTGTTAGTTCTGGTTTAGTTCTGGTTTAGTCCTGGTTTAGACCTGGTTTTAGTTCTGGTTTTAGTTCTGGTTTAGTCCTGGTTTAGTCTTGGTTTAGTCCTGGTTTAGTCCTGGTTTTAGTTCTGGTTTTAGTTCTGGTTTAGTCTTGGTTTAGTCCTGGTTTAGACCTGGTTTTAGTTCTGGTTTTAGTTCTGGTTTAGTTCTGGTTTAGTCCTGGTTTAGTCCTGGTTTAGACCTGGTTTAGTCCTGGTTTAGTCCTGGTTTAGACCTGGTTTTAGTTCTGGTTTTAGTTCTGGTTTTAGTTCTGGTTTAGTCCTGGTTTAGACCTGGTTTAGTCCTGGTTTAATCCTGGTTTAGACCTGGTTTTAGTTCTGGTTTTAGTTCTGGTTTTAGTTTTGGTTTAGTTCTGGTTTAGTCCTGGTTTAGTCCTGGACTGGATTAGTCCTGGTTTTAGTCTTGGTGTTAGAGTTCTGGTTTAGAGGCGCACAGGAGGAAGCGCGGTTTACGCAGAGTACGCGAGAAAACACGATCCACATGCGGCTCACGGGAGCACGTCGGTGTCCGCGCAGTAACTACGGAAAGAAACGTGGTCCGCGCGTTCTCAGGTTGATGACGATGATGAAGGTGTGTGTGTGTTTGTGTGTGTTTGTGTACGTGTCCCCTCATGTGGCAGGTCACTATAGGACAGTAGTGCAGACATCATGAGTCTATGCAGGTTGTTTTCACCAGTGACATTTAAGTTGTAGGCGATATTATATTTGTTATTTTCTTTTATATTTTACGTCGGGAGAATAATTTCCAAGACACGAATGTGGTTTTACCTGAGCACTGCTGCCTCTGTTCTACTGGCTCTTCGACCTCGTCCATTGTGCGACTGACGCCGCCAACGTTACCATAACGTTTACATCGCTCTTACTGCGCGCGTTTTGTGTGGGTTTCCGGCAATGAGTGGAATTACCGAAATAAAAAAATTTATAAATGTGTTTTTGTGTGTGTGTGTTGTTGTCCCAGCAACACATAAAAACAGATTTTATAATAAAGCAAATCGCATACAGAAACAGTAAAGTTAGAGATTAAAAATGAGATTAACGCGATTAAAAAACATAACGTGCTAAATATGACTGTAATTAATTAATCGCAATTAACGCGATAATTTGACACCCCTAATTTTTTTACCTCTGAGGGTCAAAGCGGCCCGTCTCCTCACCCTGCCTCTGCCCTCGCTCGTGTTCTGTCTCTGCAGACTGGTACCTCCTCTCTAAAGAGGCCATCCTCTGAAGGAGCTCCTGCATAAGATGAAGATGAGGAGACACATCAAGGACGATCAACAAAGTCATATGACTAAACAGGCCAATGAATAAACTTGTTTTAATATCTGAATCTGAATCTCAGTGGAACTTTCCTGGTTGAAAGAATAAAAAATACACATAATACCCGTAAATCTTTGTATTCATCATTATACTCTAACATATACAAAATACTTCAAAGCTTAGTAAAAATTAGCTTTAGACAAATGTATGGTGCCTCCTCCTCACCTTTATCTGGTGCTGTGTTTGGTGTTTTCCGTCTCGTATCGTTTCCTCAAAGGCCACCACCTACAGGACAAACACGTGTATTACATGTGTCCAGGATGGGCATACACAGGTGTACTTAGTCTAACCCTCTGTTTCCTCCCTCCCACTCTACCTCTTTCTATCACCCTCCCTCTCTTACCCCCCTCTCACCTTGGGCAGTAAGGCCAGAGCCTGCTGGAACAGTCTGTCTGCCACACTTGAGCAGTTCCTCTCAGAGGAGCTTATGGAGGGTGGAGAGTTACCTAGAGAGAAACAACATTTGTAAGAACAGTTCTCAGGGTTCATGGAGATGTCATACATCCATTCACAAACAATAGAAAGGGCTTATAGACTTTTTAAAGGTGCAATTTTTTTTTGGTGGAGGGACAATTGGTGCTTTCAAGGAAATTGGTCACTGGTATTTTTCCCGCCTTATGAACTAGGAGATGATCAGGACTCCCACCTCACATATGGATTCAACTGTGATGTATTACAGCAATGATAATCACCACAAACAGTGGATCTGAGATTTCAATAATATTTGTATACAATATTCTCTGACTTAATATGCATAGGCAATATATTAAGTGACATTTATATTTCTTTAGCCTACAGTTGAGCATTAGTGTTTACGGCAGCTCTGAGGTTCGTAATGGAAAATGACCTGCTTTCCTGTTTCCTGGAGCACAGCAAAAGTTTTGCATTTTTTATAAAAATGTATGCATTGCACTGGAAAATCTCCCATAACCAGACTCACTGTAGAGCGGGAGTTCCGTTGCAGTGTGGATGGGAGGGGGCGGGGTCTGAACAGGTGGAGGGGGTGTGGTTTGGTGGATGGGCGGAGCCAGGCTGTGTGATTGCTTCTGTTGAACCTGCTCCTTCAGCTTGTCCATTTGTACACCACACTGGAAGATCAGACTGTCCAGCTCTCTGAAAATCAAACAAACACAATCTCAACGAGAGTTTTCAACTAAATTTGAGAGTAAGTTATGTTTTTTGTATTTTGTATTACCGCTGAGGGTCAAAGCTGTCTGTCTGCACACCCTGCCTCTCAAGTCTCTTGTGCTCTTTATTAGCTGACATGTAGTTTTTCTCCATGTTTTCCAACTTTTGAAGGAGCTCATGGACAACCTGAAGAAAAAGGAGGAGTGCTAAAAATCATGAAAATGTCCAAACCTTTGGCTGGTCGTGTCTGATAAGAAATGTTGAAGGATCAGTGTTTACCTCCATCTGCTGCTCCGTTTGTCCCTCGCTCCTCTGTAGACTCTCCTCAAAGGCCTCCACCTAAACACGGCTCAGCTTCAGCTTCACTGCTCCCAGACAGGACATGTGTATTTGTGTGTGTGTGTGTGTGTGTGGACATGACGTGTGTTTTGTTTCTGTGGGTGTAGACATGAGGTGTGTGTTTTGTGTGTGTGTGTGTGTGGACATGCCGTGTGTGTTGTGAGTGTGGAGGGGTTTGACGTCACTTACATGTTGGAGAAAGCCCTGCGCCTGCTGATACAATGTGCCTAACATGTCTGAGGCACTTCCCATTGAGGAATATGTGGAAGATGGAGGACTCCCTGTATGAGAAATAAAACATACAAGGATTCATTTTAACAAGTACTACACGTCAGACAGAAATACTTTGGAGCTGATGTCATCAGTATGTTCTTTCCTTCCCTTCTCTATCTTAGATCAGATACAAAAGCGTATAAAGCCAGTGTCTCACTGTGCACTGGTGTAAACAAGAGCACGAGAGTCACATGACGTGACTATGGGGGTGTGTTCAGGAGCAGTACGGCATTACAGACACACACAAATGACTCTTCTGATAAAAAATGATGCGGCACCACATATCAGGGCATTTATCTGTCTGTAAATTGGATTAAATGAACATAATGTAGTCTAAGCTTAATAACAAGGTATAACATGCTGACATGGACTATTGATCTATATTGGCTCGATTTAGGCTGATAGCCGATATGTCTCCAAGGGCCCATATCGGGCAAGGAGCAAAGCTGTTCAAAGGAGAAGCACCAGTATCTCTACTGCAGCTTCCCTGTAAGTTAGAGATTTGTGAGTATACATACCGTGCTGTGGCTGTGCTCCGGTGTGCGGGGTGGAGGAGGAGGGGCAGGAGGGGCTGACCTCTGCCCTCTGGGGACAGGGGATGTGTAGGGTCAAAGGTCGGGAGGCGTGTGTCCTGAGGCCTGAGTGCAGATGCAGTCCGGGTTTAGGAGGACCTGGATATAAGTTCACCTGAAACAAAACATAAAAACACATCCAGTCACATTTACTAGAACATGAAATCAGAGTTACAGGTGAAATCACAGGTTGGGATTTAGGTTGTTCTCGGACAAGATATGAAGCCGGCATAAGTTCAGCCTGGAAGACTTAACTTCGCTCCTGTCTAACTCAACTCCTCTCCAGAGTTTACCTGCTCCTCAGCCTTCATCACCTCACTCCAATTACTCCTCCACGCTGCTCACCGCACCTCCCCCTCATCCAATCAGCACCCAGTCTGCTCAATTTAAACCCCATCTCATCTTCACTCTTCACACTCCACCTCCTCCCATTATCTCATCATCCCCTTCTCTCTCTCCCTGATGAGTAGGCCTGTAGTGATTGAATCAATGAATCATTTGTGTCTTATGACCAAAATGTGTATTAGGCCACTAATCATAGATGATAAGGATTTCTCTGGGACAACAGCAGAAGTGAGTGAGAGAGTGAGCTGAAGATTTGGCATTTTATGGTATTTGATTCATGATCCATAAATTTAATCTGTCTTTATAGTACTTTTTTCTGCATTAAAAGTAGTTGCATGTACTCCTGTGCAGATGTAGTCTTGTCAGTGCACTTTTGGTCACACACACAGAGGTACAGAATAGTTTTGAGAGCTTTTGCCATGCCCCTTTTTAGGCGCCTTATCGATTTGCTGGACATGTCTCTAGAATTTCTTTAATCAACTACAGATTTAGTAGTATTTAGACTTTTCTTGAATATCAAAATCAACTTCAATTTTCAGATGAGTAGCAAAGAGACGTGTTGTTGCAGTCCTGTATTACATATTGTCAACAGCTGTGAAATATGAACTGAAATAATCGCAAAAGTTTTAGTTCACTCTGAAAATAAATTTAAAAGAACACGATTCATCACGCTCAAAGACGGCTCGCTGTAAACATTGTGAGACAGATGTAAAGTTAAGAGAAGAGTAGAGCTGAATCCAAACGCCTTCAATCAAACACAGAGACTGTAAAGAAACGAGTGGAGAGCACCTTTCCCTCCAGACGCAGACGGTCAATCGTGTTCGCTGCCTCAGCACACTTCAGCCTCAGACGATTGTTTTCCTCCTGCACAGAGAGAGAGAGGGAAGAAGGAGAGAGGAAAGAGAGGGAGAAAGGGATAGAGAGAGTAAGAGGGAGAGAATTAATGACATGTTTTCAAAGTAGATCCACAAGAGGACAAAAATAATTCTTTGGCCCACTTTAATAAATGTTCACTTTAAAATGATTCTTGTTTCAAATTCATATTAAAGTATTTGAATCATGATTTTGTCATCTAGGTAACAGGATATTGACACAAGTACCACATTTATGATACCACTTTATTAGTTTGAAAGAATTTTGCCTTTCTGCCACTGACTGGAGTGTTTTTTGTGATGGATTTAAAATAGGGAATTCTGAATCAAGGGTCTTACCTGAGTGATGCCCTGTATCATTTTTTTATGCAATACAACCAAATAGTTAAGGAATTATGGCCCAAAAAAGATCCAGATAATATGGAAAACTGGATACCCACATTACCCAGTATCTATGCTCTAATGAACATGAATGAAAAAGTTTTAACACTTTGGGTAAAGCAAGAAAAATCTATATATCTGCTGCAAAAGCCTAAAAGCAATTGCTACAAAATTGCTCTCAAATGTCAACTGGGTAACACTGATTTTATAATGGAGTCTATAGGAACTGTTACCCAGTTGACATTTTGTTAAATCAAACTCATTTTGGTCCGGGGGTTGTATCCAACCTACTGTGATCCCAAAGGGGCCGGATCAGAAAACTCATGACACATAAACCCCAAAAATAACAATAAGTTCAAATGTTTGTGCAGAGAAACACCAATCTATTACAGAAATCTTTTTTAATTGATGAACTCTTTCTTTTACAAAATATTATGATATTATGAACAACCTGAAACTTTAAGAAAAATGCAATTTCAACACAATGTTTTAACATTAACTTGTATGTAAATAGGAATAAGTAAATTTTTCTTGGAAAATCCTGCACTCGGCTCCACTTTTCTCATGTTGGACATTTTGCTGATGAGGGTGTCATGGTCAACAGACAAAACGATTGTCCTTTAAGAGCGTTTGGAAAGAGACAAGTCTTCATTTGTGCTGCTCTGGTGGGAGGGGCCACGCACAGAGACGCTGGAGACGCTGCTGTGATAAGCACCGCAGAAAATTAACAAGATTTTAATAGAAAATATAATTAAAATATTTTAGCAGAAAATCAGCCCAGGGCCAGATTAAAGGTTTTGGAGGGTCGGATCCAGCCCCCGGGCCATATGTTTGACACCCCTGTTCTAGATCTTAGAGTATCCTTACATTATCATGACCTATTTCTGTAATTAAGCTCATTACATTTCTGTTAGCAAACATGAAATCTAATGTAATTCTACCAAAATATGGGCATTATCCATAAGGGGCATGTCTTATCCAGTTCTTATTATAGATCCATGATTCTATCAGAGAACTTAATTAAATTGGAGAAAATATCACTGTAGAAAGGCTGTGTCTTCACTGTGGTGTTGAGGTTGTGATTTTAGAGTGAACCATTGCAGTTTTATAAAGGATTATCCAAGACTTTACCCACTTAACAATATGTTTGCTTCAAGGAAATAATTATACAATTGATAAATACAACCAGTGGACAAGAAATGCACCTCTAATTATAGAATCACCCACAGGTCAAGTATTGAAACAGCTACTGCAGTCTAAGCACCAAACTGTCACCATTAATTCAACTCATTCAATACAGCACTCTCACTCAGGTCTTTCATGTGAGTAGTATAGTATAGTATAGTATAGTACAGTATAGTACAGTATAGTACAGTATAGTACAGTATAGTAGAGTACAGTAGAGTATAGTGTAGTATAGTATAGTACAGTATAGTATAGTACAGTATAGTATAGTATAGTACAGTACAGTATAGTACAGTATAGTATAGTACAGTATAGTACAGTAGAGTATAGTGTAGTACAGTATAGTACAGTATAGTATAGTACAGTATAGTATAGTACAGTATAGTATAGTTCAGTATAGTATAGTATAGTATAGTATAGTACAATATAGTATAGTATTGTGCATTTTTTTGGGTCGCCTTGTCACGATCTGCAGGTGATCTGCTGTGATATACATATACATCTCCGTGCACCCCTGGCAGCACCGCCTTGCCTAACCAATTTTCTGTGGGAAACACTGATTACTGTTTTACCTCATTTAAAACTTTAGTAACATATTTTTCAGACTATGAGGCACCCTTCATTTTCTCAAAAATCGACAGTGCATCTTATAATCCGGTGCCTTATGTATTAATTCTGGTTGTGTTTATTGACCTCAAACCGATTTTCACACATATTCCACTGAGTCGTGTTCTTTAGCCCGACAGAAGCTGAACTGCATCAGCACACAAGGAAAGAGCTGTTTTTTCAGCATTTATAGTTTATGCAAATGAGCCATGTGGTTTTAAGTTTTGTTTCTGTAAAACGTAAATGAATGTGCGCAAAGCTGCATTAAACACATTATTACTCAATCTATATTTGAGTCATCCTCGTAGAAAAAAAAAAAAGTCTCAAGTCTCTAATGTGGTCCATTTGTTTGGCTTAATGCGCCTTATAATCCAGTGCACCTTCTAGTCTGAAAAATACAGTAATACTAATTGTTCAGTCAACAATAAAATATCCACATTAATTGTTCAATAATGGTCACAAATGTATGTTGTCATTTATGAATAATGTCTATGGACTTGGATCGCAATTAATTGTGATTTTTAAAATATGGGTCCCCAGAAAGACAGTTTGGGAAACACTGATGTAGTGTACCTGCAGCTCATGGACCAGAACTATGGCGTGCTGCTTGGACCTGAAGTCTGGGGGGAGGATGGAGAGCGCCTCCAGAATGTGCTCCTCCTCCTCCTGCTCTCCTCCATCTGCAGAACTGAAAAGGACTTCAGTCACAATGTCTGCCGGGGACATGTACACCAGGGGGCGGTCTGGGGACGCAGAGTCACTCCTCAGCATGTGCTGGCTCTGTGGAGGGGTGTAGCCATCTTTGGGGAAGTGAATCCTGGGCTCCACTTTAGACAAGTCCGGCCTACGCACTATCGGAAACCCCGAGCTGGGAAAGAACAAGAGTGTGAGTGGAAGTATTTAGTGGAAGTAGAAGTATTCAGTTACTTTCTTGAGAGGATTTGTGCTTGAGAATGCGATTTTTAAATATTATATTTTGGTAATACTTGTATATTATAATTAGGACCGGGCATGTTAATGCGTTAATTTTGCGTTGACTAATAAATTCATTATCGCTGACAATAATTTTTCTCCCCTTAACGCAGTTTTTATTTATTTATTTTTTATTGTAAACATCTGTTGCTCACTGGCTTTTATTTTGAAAAAGTCCTTCACAAGTGAGCTTGGAATGTTGCTTAATGCTGCGGTGCTCAGAGAAAACAGAGAAAGAAAAGAGAGAAAGAAAGAGGGATTAACAAATATGGAGAAGGATAAGGAACTTTTAAATGGCCATTTTCATTTTAAAGTTCTTCCAGATGGTGCAGTCGACACAGACAAAGTCATTTGTAACACTGCAGTGATGAATTGTCTTATCACCAGAGTTTCACAAGTCTGAAATATCACCGAAATGCAACACACTCTGTTGATGCCAGTCATTCACTAAAACAAGTGGAGGCTTCGGCCGAACACGTAAGAGGCAACATGTCAGACGTGGCTTCGCACATCATCACGCACAGCGTCTCACTTTTCTTCCATGAGAAGCCAGTGCCAGCGATCACATTCTTAATAATAATAATAATAATAAATATAGCCGCAAGCGGCGATGATCGGCCCTCGCTCGAGCCTACGCCGCGCCCACGCCACGCAGAGCCCTGCACATGTCGTGCCCCATGAATGCACCTTACCCCTTGATCTAACTCCTAAATTCACCCTAACCCCTAACACGAACCCCTAAACCTACCTGAACTCCTACCTGTAGCCCTAACCCTAGGCCTAAAATTAACCCTAGCCCTAACCCAAACCCAAAACCGAACCCTAGCCCTAATCCGAATTCCAAACCCTAGCCATACCTCGAACCTAACCCTAACCCCTAATCTTAACCGAACCCTACCCCTTTTTCCTCAATTTCTGTATGTATTGAGATTTTTTTAAAAATCCAAGATGGCGGACTTCTGTTTTGGCAGGGGGGCGTGGTCACAATATACTTTTTTGTTCCTATTCTCATGATGCATCTGTGTACCAAATTTGGTTTGGCTACACCAAAGTTTTTGTTGGGCGTCCTATTGGCGAGGACAGATGTTTGGCCTGTTGCCATGGCAACACGATGGGAAATGGCATGGGGGCTTCTTTGACTTTTTTGATCAAGACCATGTCATGAATGTGTGTACCAATTTTTGTATGTCTACGACAAAATAAAATTTTATTGTTCCATACAATTTCCCTAGGGGGCACTATTGCATCCATTTTACATTTTATTATATAAATCTGTTCAGGGTCGGGGTGTCCACCAACGATTAAAGTTTGAGTGAAATCAGCCAAAGTTTGTGCAAATTATCAGGCGTTGAAATTTGATGGCGAGCCACAAAAACGACCCAGTAATTTGCCTTGTTGCCACGGCAACACCGTTTGACCTTTTAAAAAGCTTTTAACAACTTTTAATGTCCCACTTGTCTAGATGATACAGAATGATTCTGGTGAGTCTGGGTCAAACACCCTAGGACGAGTTCGTTCAAATACGGGGACAGAAAATTGTCCCTTCGGCGCCAGGTTGCACGTTTGATTAAATATGGCGGACTTCCTGTTGGTTGCCTAGTAACCGCGTAATATACTATTTTTGTTCTTATTCCCATGGTGCATCTGTGTACCAAATTTGGTTTGGTTACACCAAACTTTTTGTCGGGCGTCCTATTGGCGAGGACCGATGTTTGGCTTGTTGCCATGGAAACACAAAAGGAAATGGCATGGGGGCGTCATTGACTTTTTTGATCAAGACCATGTCACGAATGTGTGCGCCAAATATTGTATGCTTACGAAAAAGTAAATTTTTGCACTTCCATGCAATCTCCCTAGGGGGCGCTATTGCACCCATTTGAGATTTTCTTATATGAATCTGTTTAGGGTCGGGGTGTCAATCAACGATTAAAGTTTGAGTGAAATCGGCCAAAGTTTGTGCGAATTATCGCTCGTCGAATTTGGTGGCGAGCCGCAAAAACGAACGCAAAATTTGCACCATTGCCACGACAACACCATCGAACGCTCTAGGACGAGTTCGTTCAAATGTGAGGACAGGAAATTGCGTCCTCGGCGCCGAGTTGCTCGATCAGTCCAATATGGCCGACTTCCTGTTGGTTCCCTAGCAACCGCGTAATATATTTTTTTGTTTGGAACGACCAGACCTATCCACCACCCGAATTTCGTTTGTCTACGACAAAGTTGATTTTTCAGGTATAGCCATAGGCGCAATGTATTTTGATTTTGCAGGGGGCGCTGTCGAGCCATTTTTTTGAGTTTTTTGATGTGGACTATTTGTAAATTCCTATTTTGGCGATCTTGAATTTTGTGCAAAATTTCGTGAGTTTTCGTCGGCGGGAAGTGTGTGAACTGTGCAAAAGTGGTTAGAAAAAAAAAAAAATAATAATAATAATAAGAAAAACCAGAACAATAACAATATAGTGCCACCTATGGTGGCACATATATATATCATTGGAAAGGGCTCGCGTCCAGTAACGCACCCATGGGGTTCATTGTCACTGAACTCGCCACACATGGCGCTCAAACTTAAAAAGAAACTCCAGAACAATAACAATATAGGGCCACCTATGGTGGCGCATATATATATATATATATATATATATATATATATATATATATATATATATATATATATATATATATCAGTGGAAAGGGGGCGTGTCCAGTAACGCACCCGGGCGGGCTATTGTCAATAACGAGCGCGTTGCGCTCGTCATTGACCTCTTCGATTACTCACATACCCAATGCATGTTTTTGGCGTTTACGAGAGTTAACGATTACAATTATGCTGCTGACGTGGCACTGGGCAATGCCAGTCTGTACTATTGGATGCCAAGTGCGCCCTACATTTTGGGGTGAACGATTACAATTATGCCGCTGATGCGGCCCACGGGCAATGCCACCGTGCCATGTCAGCGGGCACCAGTCACTGACATGTGAGTGTGAGTGTGTGTTTGGAAAGGGGAGAGCGCTTTGTGCTTCGCACTGCTGAACAGTAACAATAGGCCCTACGCCACCCATGGCGCTCGGGCCTAATAATAATATTCTTGTATGCCTTAGCAACTGGCTTTGTTCAGAAAAGTAAAGTTTCTGGTGACTGTTTTTGACTAAGATTCTCATTTTTATATTAAACAGGAAACATTAAAGCCCTGGCAGTAGCAAGACATTTCAGTTTTGTATTTGGTTTGATTTGTTTTTGTTTTTTTTCAGATGAGATTTACGCTGAATACTTTATTTTACTGCTGCTGATCACATGCACTTTACTTTTGAATTCAATTTATTAAGTCAAATTCTAGGAACTGACAAACTGCACTGAAATTGGTTCTTTTTGTTGAGTAAGATTCTGCAAAGGAAGAAGTATAAACACGGACTTTACAGACTAGTGTAGAAATGCTGTTTTCATAACACATGTGGCACTTTAATTTACATTTCCAATAAAAGTGAGCTATACGCTACTTTTGAATGCATTCATTGGTTTTGTGTATAACATGTGATTAATCATGATTTATCACAAGAACTCATGCAATTAATGCGATTAATGTTTTTATTTTTGCCCAACCCTAATTATAATACACTCGCATGTATGAATCACTCTAAATATAAGATGTGGATTAAGTTCATGATAAGGGTAAAATAATGGATAATATGTTTCCTTTAAATCATTAGTCCAAAAACACCAGCTTCACCATGTTCTCTACAAGACATTAGTGTTAGTATTTGGGCAATACAAACTTCAGTAAGCATTGACAGAAAGTTACCGAAGATCTGCTGGCCTCATATCCTTGTGTAAAGTGATAATTAAGCACAAAAATATAGAAATATTGATATCATGATACTAAATATGATGACAGAGTATTGTTAAAGTGGGCTGTTTTATCCATATCACCATGGCAACCTCCTGATCATTGGTGATAGTGGTGATGTTGGAAGTCTTGTGCATTACCTGAACAGAGCAACCTTCTTCTGTCTCGTGCGCGCCCTCCCCTCTCTCTCTGGACTTGGTTTGGTCTGACAGCTGGAGTTTGGAGGTAGATTTGTAGTGCTCAACCGCGTCCCCTGGGTGGCGCTCCTCTTCTCCCTGGTCACGCACACCTCCACCGGGATCTTCCTGACAGCGTCGTGCTCTGTTAAAGCCCTTGTTTCAGTCCCTGGATTATAGGATTCGTGATTTGGCTCTTGGGGTCGAGGGCTGGTCTCTGGACTGGTCTCTGGAGTGGAACTTTGTGGCCAGTGGATTTCGGGGAAGATTTCTTCGAGAATGCCTGGGCTGGAGGCTAGTTCTTCTGGGGTGATGAGGAGGGGCAGGCTGGGTGCTCTGGAGTGGGCGAAGGGCTGGTTAGGGGGTGTTTCTGTGGGGACTTGGGGGGTCCCTTGGGGGGTTTCATCGTCATTCAGACATTTGGTAGGGGTGTGGCAGCAGTCCTCAGGTTCGTAGCCCTCCTCATCTGAAACATCCAGGTCAGTGGTCACCATCAGCGGGCTTGAACCGTGATCCAACTCTTCAGCTGGAAGTTACAACAACAGAAATCAACCTAGGGAACTACACATCACCCTAATTACCCTTAAAAGTACTGGATCAAATTTTATAATAAAGTAATTTGTTTAGAAAGATATATGGTCAAAGCTCTGTACCGTCTGCATATTAGGGATGGGCACGATTAGTCGATCACATTCATTTTTAATCAACAAACTGAATGTACGTTGCTCTGCTTATGCTACATAAGATGATGAGGCTGTGTCTGACCCAAACACTGGAGTTGAGTATACCACTCAATGACACTACCACACTTTTCAGTCGTTTCATCACAACAAAAATAAATAAACCAAAATAAATAAAGTGACCAACGTAAATAAAGTGAGTGTTGAATGAAGAGCTGCGCTAAACCTGCACACGTCTGATCTTTGAAAACATGAACCATCTCCAATGCCACACACACACAACAGACTCATCATCTTCATCATCATCCCTCTGTCACAGAGAGAACACTCATATTCCCCTGAGTCGTGTCCATTAGTCCAACAGAAGTTGAACCGCATCAACGCACAAGAAAAAAGCTGTTTTTTTTTTTTTTAGCACTTACAGTTTATGCAAATGTGTCATGTGGTTGAGTTGTAAAACGGAAACAAATGTGCTAAAGCTGCATTAAACACACTATCATCTCAAATGGGCTGATGTGGCTCTAGAGTGGTTATGGTTTATATATTTATTTATGCAGATTAGTAATAGTATTTAGGTTTGTGCGATATCCAAACTTTGATACCGTTAAACCTTCTCAGGATTTTACCTGAGTTTACCGTATTACCCTATTACCAAAATGTTTCAGTACGAGCTACAAAGCTGCACCGCTATACAGTCTATGTGTATGACCTGCAGACGTATAATCTCTGAAAAGTTTCACATGAACCATGTCCAATGCGACACAAACACAGAACAGACTCACCATCAGTCGCGTACCCTCTGTCGCAGAAAGAACACACATAATCCACTGAGTTGTGTCCTTTTTAGTCCGACAGAAGCTGAACCGCGTCAGTGCATAAGGAGCGAGCTGTTTTTATCAGCGCTTTATAGTTTATACAAATGAACCATGTGGTTTTAAGCTTTGTCTCTGTAACACATAAACAAATGTGCGCCTGAAGCCAAAATGCTGCCAAATTGCAGAAATACTAGTATTTTTTTTGGGGGGGGGGGGCAACTCTCTTGCGGCTGGACTTGCCCGTCTTGTCTTGGTCTCCCTTATGAGCGTTACGTGACAACAGAACGAAACTAAACGAACGTCATTTCCACACACAGTTAAAAGAAACATTATAGACACTATTAGTTTTAAATCGTGATAGCAGTAAATTGGAAATACAATCACACATTCATTTGTGCTGAGCAACCAAATTTAGGGATCAATAAATTATAATATTATATTAGGTCCTTATGTGCTGCAGATTTTTTAATTGATGGTAATGAAAGTGATACCGTTGTTACTTTATGATACCACGGGATACTGTAATACTGTATTATCGCCCAACCCTAAAAGTAATAATAATAATGATGATAATTTTAATATCAAAATGATCATCATGATCAATGATTAATAGAAAATCTATCGTTAATTCTTCCAATGATCGATTAAGAAAATTTAATCAAATGCCCATCCCTACTGCATATAATTATGAACTGTTTTTTTATCAGCTGCAAAAGCTGTTAGCATGCTAGTGGTTCCCAACATTACTGTGAATGCAAAACTTTACTCTAGTTTATGAAAGTTATGAAAAGTGCTTTTAAATTCATTACAGTGAATAATTAGGATGCTTGGAATGTACAGAAAGTGAGGAATAAGTTGCTTGCTGGGCTTTAGGTAGAAACCATTCAGATCAGAGAGAGGCATTTTAGTTTTAAACCAACTGGATTTCAGCACTCAATCTGGCAACACAAAAGTGAGACTCAGGTGAGGCTCATTCTGCTTTCTAGTGTAGAACCAAAATATCCTGAGCTATTAAAAAAAGTTGGCCTTGTATCTGGGGACTCAGTTATGTCATGTTTATGGAATTTAAAATCACTCTAATATGAACTAGTCCTATTTAAAATATATATATCTAAGACAGTTCAGATGAATCCCAGGTCCCATCACAAACAATGAATAGTGAATAGAGTGATGTTACTGTGGTCATATTTCTTTAAACATATCATCTGCATTGATAACACTCACTGTCGTCCTCTGCAGCCAGTGGACCGAAGCCTTGTGTATCATTTCCAGCTGCAGCATCTTCACAGCACAGCCCCAGTCCCATCTCATCCTCCCGGAGCCCTATCTGATCCAGGACCCGATCCAGACTCTCACCCACTCTGTGGTCCAGCTCAGAGCAGACATCTCCCTGGTCCTCCTCAGAGCTGCTGAGGGACAGGTTCGCCGGGGCAGGGGTCCAGGTCATGTGCCCGGGCCTCCTGTGTCTGTGCATGCTTCTGCTGCTGTGGTCAGCTCGGGACAGGGGAGGGGCCGAGCTGCATCTCTCCTCTCTCTGGGATCATAGATAGACTAGATGGAGAATGTTACAAAAAGATGTGGCATAGACCATTTCTTTGTGTGCATTATTATCTTCAAAATAATAATAATAATAAAAAATTAAAAAAGGTTTATAACACACTCTACAACTGATACTTTGCAGTGATGTCATGAATGAATGAATGAAGTTTATTTCTGGTTGTTCACATTTTACAAAACAATACATGTTCTATTTGTATAGTACATGTTCTATTTGTATAGTAAATTTGGTAAATTGTTTTTCAAAATAAAACCAAAAATAAGAAAAAAAATACTAATACTAAAACTATTTTCTTCATTATTTGTCTCCAAAACCAAAATGAAAATGCACCGAATACAGACTGATCCCAGAAATGAATCAACAGGTCTAAACCAGGACCAAACCAGGACTGAACCAGAACTAAACCAGGTCTAAATCAGGACTGTTCCTAAGATTGATCCTAGGACTGAACCAAGACTAAACCAGGTCTAAACCAGGTCTAAACCAGAACTGAACCAAGACTGAACCAGGACTGAACAAGGACCGAGTGTCAGGACGGGCCTGGAGGTGCACCCATGAAGACCGTTGGGTGACCACAGGCAAAAGAACCGGCGCAGAGCTCCGCCTCCCAGGGGGATAAGCGCAGCCGTCGCCTGATCGCGCTTTGCGGACACCCTGCTCAGCGGACTCAGGGTCCCGTCTCTCTCAAGTCCAAGATTAGTCCTGGTTTAGTCCTGGTTTAGACCTGGTTCAGTTCGTATTCGGCACAAAAGTTCGACATCACAGTTTAAGTCACAGAAACGGGAAACGACCATTATCTGTTGTTTTTTTTTTTGCCATTTAAACACAATCGAAAACTGAAAAAAAAAATATATATATATATAATAATTTTCTCTTTTTTCATTTTTGGTTTTGGAGACAAATAATGAAGAAAATAGTTCAGTTCAGTAGTTTCATTTTCTTATTTTAAGTTTTATTTTGAAAAACAAATGAACAAATGACACACGGATTAAGCAGCTTCTTTATGTAAGGCCATCCTAACCCATCATCATGCAGGGGGTGTTCTACCTGTATGTTTATGACGGAGTGTTCAGAAGTTGCCATGGTAACACAATGCACACATTAGCAAATACTGCCAAATAAGTTTTAAGACGGTATGAAGGGAAAAAAAAGCACAAAATGGATTTAAAGAGCACATTTTCAGGAGCCTGTGATCAATATGAGCATTCATGGTCCTGTTTAGGAGTTTGATTTTCAGCAAAAGGTTCTCCCTAATCAGATTATGTTAAAAGCCTAATTTTAAAGTCTAATTTGAGAAACAGAGCAGTGCCAACACTACACTATAGCTGCAAAATAAATCTCAATCGAATCAAAATCGCTATTTGAACAGCAAACGCAGTTATTTTTGTCAAAACTAATTCTAAACAAATCCAAATGAGCTGATTTAGTGAGGAGTCTAATGACATGAGTACACAGGATTGATCAGTGAGGGCCTCCCAGTACTGCACACTCACACAAGGTCACACTGAGGCCCCACAGTCGCTCTCCAGGAGCTGCCGTAACCATGGCAACAAAACAACAACAAGAACAAGAGGCTGCAATAAAACAAGACCTAATCTGTAGAGCCGAACACACTTTAAGAGCCCATGCTACTCTGTTTTCTCGAATAATGTAGTTTCCTCATCACAACAGATAATACTCCCTACAACTGTACAACAACTCACTCTTATGAAACAGATAATAATCCCTACAGCTCTACAACAACTCACCCTTATGTAACAGATAATAATCCCTACAGCTCTACAACAACTCACCCTTATGTAACAGATAATACTCCTTACAAGTGTACAACAACTCACCCTTATGTAACAGATAATACTCCCTACAACTGTACGACTCACCCTTATGTAACAGATAATACTCCCTACAACTGTATGACTCACCCTTATGTAACAGATAATACTCCCTACAACTGTACAACAACTCAACTGTTTTCCCTATGACCTCTTGTGCAGAGCTGAGATTTTGTATTACTTATTTTTTATTTTATTTGGACTTGTACATCTACATTTATATAATTATGTCTTATTTGACACCTGTCTCCTGCAATTTTTGCTACTTATTTAGATTTTTTTTTTTACCTTCCAGCATCGCCCTCTATGAAGGATTTTTCAGATTTTGCTTAGGGGCAGAGTAAAGCTTCAGGAGGGTGTTTAATGGATCTTTAATATTCTTCTTCTAATGGATGCCAGGATAAGATGGACACAGCAAACGTAGCTTCTAATAGATAGAACAATAAATAAATGATATGCACAATATTTGCCGGAAAATATCAAATCATTAGTGATGGGCGAATGGAGCCTTGTGAAGCATTTACACCTCAGTCGCAATGGGCCATTATCACGCTTCCGGGTTTTGTGGGCGGGGTTTGTCGAGTTTGTGCACTTCCACTTCTGGTGCAACAACAATGGCTCAAACAATGGCTAGATGTCACTGCTCTTTTCAAATTATGAATTAATCAACACGATCAATGCATATTCTTTGTAAATACTTTGTAATAGCTTTATAATGGGCAAAAGAAGTTACTGGGACCAGTTAAAGCCCACAGCGGGAGCAGGACAAATGTAACATAGACACAAAAAGGAGCAAAAAGTCAGCTTCAAACAGGTGTTCTCGCTCTATCTTTTTTATTTTCTCATAGCATCGTGAAGTCCATTGAAGTCCGAAATATCACGGTGCTTTGTTTTCTCAGAGCACCGAAAGCCTGGTTGAAGTGGACTTTTTTCTCCTTTACGTGCTAGCACTTGTATGCCGATGTTAACTGGCTGAAACTGAGAGGCGAACGTTCTTCCTCTCAGAATACAAATGACATGGGTGAATTTACTTGACCTCATTTAAAAATGAATACTCTTGCTTTTGTTGGGTATGTTGGGTAAACGCCTTATATCCATACACCAAACTGACGTTAGCATAACCTAACCTACCTGTTCTAAAACATAGGCAACCCCTGTCCCTACATACTGTCACTCCGACAGACCCCCGCTCCGACATACTGTAATTTCGACAACCCTCCACCTCGACATGCCCCCATTCCGACACCGATGAACCAGGACTAAACCAGGACTAATCTTGAACGAGCGAGAAAGAGAGAGAACCGCCATCCCGTATTGGAGGGTATTTTCGAGCTCTGTGCTATTAGAGCGCGCAGAGCTTTACGCACGCTGCTCTGGTGGCAGATGCCAGGTTAATGAGTGCGTAAGAGTCCGCAACTTTAAGTGCGCGCACGAGGAGAATGAGAGCTGCAGCCGCCTCTTTATAAATATGAGTTTATAAGGGACTGGCGCATTTCTGGGTCCCTGTGTAAGACGCTCTGTCCTCTATGAACAGGTATAATTCTAATCTTTTAGCCCTTATTCATGAAAATATCCAGATTCCTAAATATTGATCTTTTTAGTGTCTCTATCTGACTGCGAGCCCGGCACCGCTTCTCTCTCGCCACACGCTGAGCTTCACAGGGCATTCTCGTGCGCCCTAGTCTTTGGCGACAGGTAATGAATGTCTCCTGCTCCTGTCCATTCACAAAAATGTCCAAACTGTCACACAATTCAGTTTTTCGTAGTTTCTCTGCTTGGCCGTATCACTGCACCTTGAGCCAAATGCGTGTCACCGCGCGCTTCCACCTGCAGTGTCAGGTAACGCCCCGTAACCTCTTCATTCATAAAGTTCCAAATTCTTACGTATCTGTCCCTTGTAGGCGCGCTGCTTGGCTGCACTCGCAGTACCAGGACCTTTACGCACAGTGGTGCCTTCAACAATAGGATTCTGCCACTCCGACCAAAGGATAAAGAAATGTCGGAGAGTAGGGACGTTTGATAAAAAATGGAAATGCCGCTACTCTGACAATAACGCGTCAATATCGGAGTGATGGTTTGTCGGAACGGCAACTGTAAAGTTATGTTAGCTAGTAACCACTCACCATCATAGTCGTAGGTGAAATTTCAAAAAATAAACTGTGTCCGTTGTCCACTTTGGAGCGGGCTGTGATTGAATGTTGATAAATGAGACGATGTATGTTGGAAAAGGATATTTTCAGTAAATTTATAAGGGATGTAGTCTATGTAAACAACTTCGGTTCATCCATCATGAGTTCAATCAACAGAGTGACAATTCACCGGAAGTAGGCGTGCACAAAGGTCACTGAATGCGGAAGTACTACGTATCAGTGTGATAATAGTCTATTGTCTCAAATGGTTGGACGTGTCTGAGGCCTCGGAGAAACACTGACCTCTAGTGGACAAATTTAACCATTGGCACACAGGTGTCTCAGCATTGATGAAGTGTTGTTAGTGTAAGACAATACTTGTGTGCAGAGCAAACGCCGTACCTAACAACAACAATAATAATGATGATTTAAAATAATATGTAAAGAGCAACATAAATAACATGCTGTAAATAAGAAAATAGGTGATCTTGTTAGGTGGAATTAGATCAAAGTGATCCCAAACCATGGATCACTTTTTTCCACTTGTAGATGCCATCGAAAATGAAACAAATGCCAAAAGTCACCAAAATCACCACTAACGTCACACTACCCAAGATTTTTAAGAAATATTGGTGCATCTTTTATACTGTAGCAGTTTAGCCTTTGTCAAACCACGGAAGTGCGCTGAACACTCTGAAGCACTCTGAACCAATCGCAGAGAAGAACATTCGCTGAGCCAATGAAACGCTTTGATACACTGAAGCGATCGACACGCAGAGAGAAGCAGTAGGGGGAGGGACCGACACTTCCACACTTTGGTCACGTGAGCGGCTACTGCGAGATGAGCTCCGAGGCAGTGCTTCGGAGCAATTTGTTTCAGAAAGAACGAGACGTGCTCCAGAGCTCCGTCTCATTTGTCCATCGCTACAAATCATGTTTCACATCATCACTGACAAAGACAATAAACCTTTCTAACAAAAGTTACAATAATGCGACAATCGTTTATTAAAGGTACACAATGAAGCCTTTTTGGTGCATGGTCCTCTACCACGGAGATGTTAGTGCTTTGCCTGGAATGTTCCACAGTATAGCATTAACTTCATCTATCTTGCAATGTGCTCTTGTTACTCAAAAATAGCTTAAAAGACATGCATTCTTGTGAGTGCTTCTCCATAGTTTATGAAGATTTAAGGCCATACGATGGAATATTTCAGACAAAGCAATAATGTTGCAATGTACCTTTAAATGTATATTCCAATGTCGTTTCCTCATCACAGACAAACCTGAATATTTAGGCTTAGTTCTTCTCTCAAACTGAAAACACTCTTTTCCACTTTGTGATGTCATATGGTAATACAGGAAGTGCTCCACTGTGTTTTTAAAATCCACACAACATCACTAGAAATATTTGGATGATTTCAGCCCTGGAATTGCCAATGTCTACTGAATGAAAACTGAAAGATAAGTGTTAACATGAAAGCTACCACTTCATGACATCACAAGATGGAAATGGCATTCTGACTTTTGGAGATTAGACAGACTAATAATGAAAGTTTACTCAAATGAAACAAACACAAGTTGTTTTGATGAGGTAACAACATTACAACAGTGTAATATATAACCTTTAACCACAGAAATAAATATTCTATTTAACCTCTCCCCTATGTTCCAGACCTTTAGTGCGCCTCACCTGGAGCAGAGCTGTTCAGCTGAAGGTCCAGAGTGTCACGGCCCGGGGTTTATCTGCCATAGACACAGACAGAAGGAGATTAATGTGGGTTAATACCTCAGGACAGGGGGGTGCAGTATTGTCCCACACCATGAGCCAGACAGGACAGAGGGACAGTGGTCATGTGACTGCCAGCTGACCAATCCTGCAGTAGAGTGAGGGACAAGAGGTGTCAAAGTGACTGTCAGCAGGATCAATTACATTAATCTGCCAAATTGCAATAAGATAAATTTGTTTATTAGTACTAGTGGTCTGTGCAAACAAGCATGCCTCATATAAAGCATAAAACTAAAAACAACCCCAAAATATATAGTGCTAGTTTTCACATATTGAACGATAAGTGGATAAAGTCTTTATCGTGATAGACCTACAAGGATCCTTGTAGTAGTTCACCTGATGATTGTGTCACATATCGCAACAGCTTGTGTACAAGATAATATTATAATACTTATTTTGAAGCTGGATATGTAAACTGTTACTGAAAATATATTGTCAAAATTAGAAAAATGTGGCGAAAGGGTATTTTCCTATTCACAGCATCGTCATAATGAGCAATGTGACTGCTAATAGATGTGCTGAAAGGTCATTGCTCCTGGGGTGTTTAAAGATGTATGGAACTTGTGTGGCGGGGCGTTCATTACCTGGAAGTGGGAGGGTGTGTTTAAAAATAATAATGATAACAATAATTCAGCAGTAAAAACACTGTAATGGAATAAATGCTACACACATGCTTACGCTAACATAAGTTTAAGCACACACTGTGGAACATTCCAGGCAAAACATTTCTATGGAGACAAGCACATGACAAACCCCAACCGACCCCTTTCTATTTTAGTAAGAAATGATTTTGTGCCAGAGAATAGAGATGGGTGAGAAACAAGAACAAGATTTTATCATAATAACTGTTCAAAGGGCCTGAATAAAGCTGTTCAAAGAGTCAGAGGCCTGAGAGTGTGTAATAGAGAGTGAGCACGGAGCTTTGTGGAAGTTCATTTAGATGCTTGATGCTATGGAAAGTCCCTGACACTTTATGTGAAGTGTTTTGCCTGAAGACAAACTCTAATTTATTTCCTGCAGATTGTGCTAAGACAAGTTCAAACAAGTGAAAACTCTGTAATGGTTTGGACCAAAGCTGTAGAAACATTTTAGAATTAGAATTACTTCAATTTGCTCTAAAGTGGGGCATTAGGCCAAAAACTAAGATATCCATTTCTTTGCACACACTGGACGATTACCATTTGGATTTCCACTGGAATGGAAGTTAGAGCAGGACTGCTCGTCTTTCAAACAGGCCACGCTCGTTACATTTGGATTCTTATTATTTCCTGTTATTTAGGAAACTGCAAATTGCCTTCACTTACATTTCTATAGATGTGTAGTTTAATGTTAATAGTTAAAATTATAATGAGATTTTTATTTATTTTTATTTTTTTACAACATTAATTAATCTAATTAATTAGATTCATTACCCAACCCTGAGCCCTACTGTAACGATCACTGTGATATGATCTGTTGGGCCAGCTCAGCCAATACATATTTGTGTACAAGTGTAATAAATTGTGTTGTCACCAAAGTATAAGAGAAAGTCAAACACGAGCTGCTTCTGCAGCTGTAGAGTGACTTGTGTAGTAGAAAAATACAAATAAGCAGATTACATTCATTATCTTAAACTGTAGATAAAGTTCATGTTTTGTTTACTTTTCAAACCTAAGGCACAGACTTGCTCAACACCAGGGCTCCACACGACAGAACCGGTCAAGCTTGTATGCTCAAACTTGGAAGAAAACATTTTGCAAATTACACATTTTAAAGCAACATTTACACCACAATGTACCATAAAATCGTATTCAAACTTACCAGCAGCCGTAAGATCTCTTATCTATTATTCTTAGAGGTTTCTTTGCAGATTTGTTGTCCGGGGACCTCACACTTGTCGGTTGCCTTGAGAACCGCACAACTCAGAGACGCTCCGGGGAGTCACCATGGCGCACACCCCACAACAAACGCACACATGGCGGATCATTACCGATCACATAAGCTCTTACGACCGTCATTTTGTAAAACTACTGAAAATCCCCCTCATCGGAGCTGTTTACGAGCTGAAAACAGAGCACAGAGCATGCTTCTTACGATGTTTAATCTGCAAAGTCAATAAAAGGGCACCATTTAGGAGAAGAAATACGCGAAATAAACTACGCTTAAAAGTAAAGTCTTGCGGTTGTTATATACAAAACTATTTCAAGGCTTTTAACGTATTTCTTAGTCCAAAAATGCACTTGTTTTTGACAGATCTGCTACTAAAAAGTTCATTAGAAATCTTAAGGAGTCTTGCACAGATTTTGGCTGTTGCAGAAGTTGCTCAATCTCCCTAAGATTTGTCTCGCAGGCATTAGTCAACGTGTAATAAAGCCCCAAATCGCGCTTTATTGCAATTTCTAATTTATCATTTATTTTAAAATGTTTATCGAAGTAAGTGAAGAAATGTGAACACATGTAGTAACTATTTTTATTTGTATTAATTACCTCTCAGACAAAACTCGGAGAAAATCGTGTCAGTTGGAGGGGTACGTTTGAACTGAAACGCTGTAAAGTGTGGTTCATGCAAGTGACCACTAGATAGCAGTAATCACTCATATTTAAGCGCTGCTTTAATCAAAGTCGTTCAGAATACTTAAGTTTTACTCTAGTCTAAATTAATATAAAATGATGTCAACAAAAAATAATACTTACATTGAAAATCAGTTTTATACTGTTAGGATTCAGATGACGTCACAACATTCTATAGACAATAATATTTAATACAGTGAGTTCTTGGATCTGATCGAGTCACTAATAGAAATGATCAGGTTCATGTGTTGTGAATTTACCTTTTGGAGATTTCATGGGAAATGAAAATGTAATCACTATGCGAAAATAACTCTTTATGGGGTTACTTTTGCCTCATCAATATTCTTAAATGTACAGAAGGTGATCATGTGTTTTGATATCCACAAATGCAGAATTAATATTTGTAACTTGCATTTTGGTCTTTACAAATAGATGTGTATTTGTAAATATATCTTTTTTCATTTGAAAAAACAAAAACAAAAACACGAATTCACTGATTTCCTCTATGACATATTTTTGAGACATTCCTTTTGTGAAATCCACTAATCCAGACAGATTCATAAACAGCGACACACACTTGCCACAGGAGGAAACCCTTCTCCACCACCAGCAGGGGGCAGAATGTTAAATGATTGGAATAAAACATCCAACATCTGCGTGTTTGCTGTTGTGTCTGTAATTTTCACAGCTTCCATAGCTTAAACAGAGCTTTCTATGTTTAAGCTATGAGGTATGGTAACACATATGATCAGTAAAGCCTTGTGCACAATACATGAATGTTACAGATCATCCTACAGACACTTCGATTTCAGAAGTGTCATATGTTTCATGTAAAGGAAACACATTACAAAATCATGAATAACATATACTAATCCAAAGAATTACTTCAATTGCGCTTTAAAATTCAAGAAAACATTTGCACTTTTTGGAAAAGGAGATTGAAAGCACTGATCATCTTTTTTTTCTTTTGTGTTTACAATCCAACACTTTTGGTCTGAAATGCAACACTGGATGAATTCCATATTTCGTTCTTTACCAGTCTTGTTAAACAGGGATGTTATCATTTTTGGGAAACTACTACAAAATAAAAAAAATCTCTGTGTAAACGTAATATTATGTCTTGCCAAATTGTACATCCACAAATGTAAAATTCAGAAATGTCCCCCTAACTTTGCTTGTTTTAAAAACAAACTCAAATTATATATAAAAGCTCTGAGATATATGAATGGAGCTAAACCTCAAAAAGTGGACTTTATGAACTCAGGCTGAATGAACTGTACTTCCCTTGCTATTATCCTTTTCTCTTCCTAAATGCACTTTTTTTTTTTTTGTATTGTATTGTATTGTTTCTATATAAAGTGTTGTGTTTATGTTCTCTCATCCCAACATGTAACTGCTGACGACACAGCCATGTTTGTTGTATCAAGTTTATGCACCCAGTTGTGTGTAATAATAAATAAATAAATAAATAAATAAATAAATAAAAATGTTTCATGTATCAACTGCTGCCCCCTGCTGGTGGTGGAGAAGGGTTTCGTCCTGTGGCAAGTATGTGTCGCTGTTTGTGCATCTGTCTGGATTTGAGGATTGGTGATCTACAAATGTGAATCACGTGATCACAGAATTTTCAGTTGTACATTTTTTTTACGTATTTATTTATTTTGCAAATGAAAATAGACATATTTACAAATATACAATACTCTATTTGTAAAAAACAAAAACCAAACCAAATCAAAGAAAGTTACAAATGTTAAATATGCATTTGTGGAAATCAAACCACATGTGCAAACCAATGACTATTTGTAGATCACCCTCTGAGCATTTATGAATATTAATGAGGCAAAAATAACCCTATTGCTCTTGCCCCCATCTGGGAGTTTATGAAACACATAAGTATGTTCCAGAGGTCAGGAAACATTTTTGAGACAAACAACCAAACGACGAAAATAAAACTTAGTAATGTGCCAGTTGAGAGAATTCAATTTATTTTTGTAGAGCCCAAAATCTAATCAACAGTTCAGTTTCTTAAATAGTTGATTGAGCCAACAGAAAGTAAAAAAAAATAAAAAATCTGTGAAACAGTCACTGGTGAAAAACAGACTGAGCTGCATTCACAGGAAACAAACACACGGAGAACTGTATCATCTATGGAACATTCTCTGTTATTGAAGGAAATATTCACAAATGTAGAATTATTTATTTTGGCTCCACACACTTGTAATCATAAAGTCCTTTCAGCTGACAACAATCACACTTTATGTGCACCATAAACCAGCTCAACAAATCTAGACAGTTAAACAGCAGAATTCCCCACAGGATTCAGACTTGTTCTCCAGCTCAGTTTTACTACAAGAATCTCCCAAACATCTCGTCACCTCAAACTCCGGGAGCCAACAGGCCAAACATCAGATTAAAGCTTCCATGATGAAGCCGGGTGCAGCCGCAGGAGATTAATGACACTGTCAGGGCCCGAGCTGCACCTCCATCAGCCTCCTCACAGGACAGGTGCACGGACAGGTGCAAACAGAGGACAACAGACAGGAGCGCAGACAGAAACGCTGATAGGAGCACATGCAGGAGTGCAGACAGGACAGGAGCACAGACAGGACAGGAGCACATACAGGAGCACAGACAGGACAGGAGCACAGACAGGAGCACAGACAGGACAGGAGCACAGACAGGAGCACAGGCAGGAGCACAGTCAGGACAGGAGCACAGACAGGAGCACAGTCAGGAGCACAGTCAGGACAGGAGCACAGACAGGAGCACAGGCAGGAGCACAGGCAGGAGCACAGGCAGGACAGGAGCATAGACAGGGGCATAGACAGGACCACAGACACGACATGAGCACAGACAGGAGCGCAGACAGGAGGACAGGAGTAAAGATAGGAGCACAGACAGGACAGGAGCACAGACAGGAGCACAGACAGGACAGGAGCACAGACAGGAGCACAGACAGGACAGGAGCACAGACAGGACAGGAGCACAGACAGGAGGACAGACAGGACAGGAGCACAGACAGGAGCACAGACAGGAGCACAGACAGGACAGGAGCACAGACAGGAGCACAGACAGGACAGGAGCACAGACAGGAGCACAGACAGGAGCACAGACAGGAGCACAGACAAGACAGAAGCAAAGACAGGACAGGAACACAGACAGGAGCACAGACAGGAGCACAGACAGGACAGGAGCACAGACAGGAGCACAGACAGAAGCACAGACAGGACAGGAACACAGACAGGAGCACAGACAGGACAGGAGCACAGACAGGAGCACAGACAGGAGCACAGACAGGACAGGAGCACAGACAGGAGCACAGACAGGAGCACAGACAGCAGCACAGACAGGAGCACAGACAGGGGCACAGACAGGAGCACAGACAGGACAGGAGCACAGACAGGAGCACAGACAGGACAAGAGCAAAGACAGGAGCACAGACAGGAGCACAGACAGGACAAGAGCAAAGACAGGAGCACAGACAGAAGCACAGACAGGACAAGAGCAAAGACAGGAGCACAGACAGGAGCACAGACAGGACAAGAGCAAAGACAGGAGCAAAGACAGGAGCACAGACAGGAGCACAGACAGGACAAGAGCAAAGACAGGAGCACAGACAGGACAGGAGCACAGACAGGAGCACAGACAGGACAGGAGCACAGACAGGAGCACAGACAGGACAGGAGCACAGACAGGACAGGAACACAGACAGGAGCACAGACAGGACAGGAGCACAGACAGGAGCACAGACAGGACAGGAGCACAGACAGGACAGGAGCACAGACAGGAGCACAGACAGGACAGGAGCACAGACAGGAGCACAGACAGGACAGGAGCACAGACAGGAGCACAGACAGGACAGGAGCACAGACAGGAGCGCAGACAGGAGGACAGGAGTAAAGATAGGAGCACAGACAGGACAGGAGCACAGACAGGACAGGAGCACAGACAGGAGCACAGACAGGGGCACAGACAGGGGCACAGACAGGAGCACAGACAGGAGCACAGACAGGACAAGAGCAAAGACAGGAGCACAGACAGGAGCACAGACAGGACAAGAGCAAAGACAGGAGCACAGACAGAAGCAGAGACAGGAGCACAGACAGGACAAGAGCACAGACAGGAGCACAGACAGGACAAGAGCAAAGACAGGAGCACAGACAGGAGCACAGACAGGACAAGAGCAAAGACAGGAGCACAGACAGGAGCAGAGTTGGGAGCATACAGAGGAGCCCAGACAGGAGTCCTGACAGGTGCATGAGAGGACAGGAGCGGGCGGGTGTTGTCATGTGTTTTTGTGTTCTCTCTCTCAACAATAGAGCTGTTTCATGCAGGGAAAATAGTTTAATCCAACATCAATATTTGTTGCTTTTGAACCTTTTCCAAATGTTAGATTTTGGAACTTCAGCTCGGGGCTCTGAAATGTTCTCTGAAGTTCTAAGCAGGAATTCCAAGATAAAAGGCTGTTGCAGTAAATTAAGTAAATAAAGTCAGAAAATATGATCTC